CATTACTTTCTATTCACAGATGAAAGAGAATAAAGTAAAAGTAAAAGTAGAACAAACTGTTACTATGTTTTCAGTTCCAGGAACTAAACTAAACCACAACATTCCAGAAATCAGTTTGCTTAGTTCTGTTGAGTTTCTCTCTTCCCCGTTCCTTTGTGCACACATTATATCTGTTCATTCTAGCAGCAACCAATGCAAAAGGTCTGCAACCTGACAAGAGCATTTACTTAGTTCTGTTGTTGTGAGGCAGCACTGATCCAGATTTCATTGTGGTGAGTAAAAGAAAAATAGGATTCATAGGTAGCTGCAACATGAGTGTTGGGATCAAAGGTTTTCCCGGTCTTAGCCAAGGCCTCACGAAGAATCTTTGTGTTTTTCTGGCCAGTCTCAGTGCTTGGAGCACCACTGAAAACCCTTAAAACAAAGAAAAGCAAAATTGAGTCATCTTTCCCTGTGAGATTTAGACCTGTGTGTTAGCTGCTCTCTTTTAATTCTCTTTTCTGTCATAATGACTGATTTTGTTCATTTAGAACTTCACAATTTTGCACAAATTTGCAGTTATATTCTACAATACAACTGCAAAATGAAAAACTTTGGATCTACTGAAGAAATCAAAGTGATTTAAAAGATAAATGGACACACTGCTCACCTTACATAGACAGTGGCTTCAGGTTTAGTTTCTGGTTTGACTAATGGATCATATATTTCTGCCTTTTTGCCACCAGAAGAAACAAACCACGACACCGACATTTTAGGATCACCTTCACCTTCAGTAACAGTGACCAGTACTGGCCAGCAATCATCAGGAATCTCAAAACCTGAAAGAAACAAACATTGTACAGAACTCAAAGTGGTAAATGGACTGGTTCTTATATAGTGCTTCTCTACTCTGAGCACTCAAAACACTTTACACAACTAGGCCTCATTCATCCAGCACGTTTTCTATCTAACTTTCACACACATTCATACACTGATGCACCTGGAGAGCATGCAGACTGTAGCAGATGGGGATCAAACCACCAACCTTCCAATTAGTAGGCGACCTGCTCTACCACCAGAGCTAAAGCCACCCCAATAAGTGGGAAGCCTAAGGACTAAATCTGTTTTTTAAGACAAAAAAAAAATCTTGAAGAGTCAAAATTCAATTTGTGATATATTTCTTAAGATATGATGTGAAATCTTAATTTTTGCCAAAGAACCCCATAGAACATAATAAAAAATAGAAAATGAACTGCTCCTTACCTGTAACAGTTTAATATGATGCAAGTTATTGTGGGAACTCTTTAAAGAGGATTTTGTTTCTCAAGTACTGGTTAGGGACCAGGGTTTATTTCAGTTAATGAATGATTACATTTATCAAATATCCTACTCTCTTAAAATATTTCCCTCCACAACAGCTGAGGTTCTAATATGGCAACTTGAATATTAAGCCGGGTAACACAAGACTAAAGGAATACAAGGTATCAGATTCTAGTTGTTGTTATGTTGATTTTAATCTTACATTTCTCAACTAATTTAGAAGTTCTGCACACCATCTTAGATCTTAGATCAACATATTACTTATTTATACAGGTCCATGTTTAGTTTAGCTACTGCCATAGCAAACTAAATTACATACTCGAGTGATATTTCAGTGCCTCATGTACCTGCTTCAGCCTGTCTCTTGACGTAGGTCTTCAGGCGTGAATTTGCAGCTAGATAATCCCTGACTCCAGTGCTGTCGAGCTTTGTGGTAATCCAGTCGGTAGCACCATATAAGCGCACCTCAAAGTCCTGCACACAACAGAAGCAAAAACTATACTTATCGACTAGAAATAAGAACACACCAATAGTATTTGTGAACTGTTCCAAAGCCTACCTGGTGCGTCTCAACCACTTTGTACTGAGGACATTTTTCCTTTGGGCAAAAGTCCT